ATTTTAGTCTATGAACTATTATTTCTTTAGTGAATAATAACATTTAACTAAGGAACTAGAAAAAGAACGATAAAGCTGAAGGTTATAGTGTTTTCTATCCCATTTATTAGCATTTCCTCATCATCATCATATTTTTAATATTACCTGTCTGTAAAATATATTTTGATATTTGTTTGTTGCTTTTCGCTGCTGAATAAGAAATGAAAGAAAATACTTCTTGGATGTTTATTCTACTTAATGAAATTGACCTTTCTAGATAGCTAAGTTTGATGAAATCGTAAATAGACCTGTAGTTGATGCGTCGTTTAGCCTACATATCGCTTTTGAATAAGTGATACCACGAGTCGAGTATTCGATAGCCCTTTAAATACTGAAAGGCCACTCCTACTTTCCATATTGTACCAAGTCGCACGTTGTGCTAGCTTAGCGTTTCCCAACAGCTCGAAAGGCGGCAACGCTCATCAAAATTTCAGCCGAATTGAACCGCCAATTACCTTGTACTTCGACTTAGACCGGAACATTATTGAATAAATAAGCTTGATGGAATGCGTGAGATGCTAAGAGGAAGAGAACGAGAGATGGTTTTAAGAGTTTCCCTGAGAAAAGACGGTTTTTCAGTACTTAACGTTATATACTGTTTTCAATTAATTAATCTTTAATTAAGGTTATGGTTGAGATAAAAAAGTCAGTGTCACAAGCGGGATTCGAACCTACGACCTTCAGGCTAAACATGCCGCTGCTCTACCACCTCTAACGTGACTTCGATCCTCTCGGGCACCAACTCTCCACCTCAACCTAAATAAAATGGCAAAAAGGAGGGAAAATTAAAAAAAAAAGTGGGGTTGAGATGGGAAGTTACTGTCCGAGTTGATCGAAGTCACGATAGCTCAAGTGATAAAGCAGCGGAATTCGAACCCACGAACTTCGGCTAAATAAGCCGCTGCTTAACTTCCCACTAACTTGCCATCTCCATCTCAACCACACTTTTTTTTAATTTTCCCTCCTTTTTGCCATATTATTTAGGTCAATATTTAGGTCAATCAAGTTAGAAGTGGTAGAGCAGCGGCGTGTTTAGCCCGAAGGTCGTGTGTTCGAATCCCGCTTGTGACACTTACTTTTTATCTCAACTAAAAACCTCAATTAAAGATTAATTAATTGAAAAGAATTTATTTGGTTAAGCGGACCACGAAACGTAATAAATATAAAAACTGATCTCAACAGGGTTTAGTAAAAAAATTTTTACCAGTTCACTGACTCGCAGACGATCAAATAAAATTGAGTTTGTCTGTGCTGAAATGTAGTTAATTAAGCATATTAGAACGTCTGTTTTGTTCGTTGCATTATTATTAAGGGTAATATTGATTGACGTCAGACCAACATGTGCTTAGGGATAACGTAAAAACTTAAATAATTCCTTCGGCAATCCTCTTTAGCTTAGTCGTAACAAAGGGTGTTTGCTTTATCGCTGATAAAAATCCCCTGTTTGTAATAACATTGGCGTTATTATATCGCTGCTACTTTCAGGAATTTATTAAAAATTTCTTCCGCCGATTTCGATTCGGACCATTGATTTTATGTATATTTCAGTCATTCCGTCGAGATTATTGACAATAATAACTCCGCACATGCCAAATGTAGGGAGTGCAACATGTTGCGAGGCCAAGTGTTGCACGGGATCCCCTCTTTCACAATTAACAATGGACGACGACAAAGCCTGCAAAGTAATAAGCCCGGATTGACACGGGCCCCACATTTTAATCAAGCTCCTATCCGGGCTTCCCCTCCGCGAAACCAACGCATCTGCGTTTCTCCAGATGGTGATAATGAGCGCCTACCACGAAAACACCGTTTTCATTTTTGTAAAGTTGAAAGAAAAACTGTTCAAATTAAACATACGGGTGGGCTTTTTTTCTGGAAGATGTGCGATTGATAGGGATTGAACGAGCTTATGTTGGATATTTGTGATGAGTTCGCTTTCACCAAGCCTAACAATGGAGCAAATATTTACCTTATAAGACAATGAAAATGGCTGCTCACCTGCTAGGTTTGTTTACACACCGAATTTCACCTTATTTTTAGCTTCTAGTTTGTACTTAAAATTTTCTTGAATACTTTAAATTTGCTTCCATGATTGAAAAAAACCTATAGATTATAACGACTAATCTGTATTCTTATCAAATTTTAAAATTTAATTTGCGCCATACCATTATCAATATTCACAAATAAATGTGTGGTGATTAGTGACCGTTAATCGATATTTATTTAAAAATCGTGAGATGCAGTCTGGTGTGATGTAGGTTTCAGAAAAACATTTTCTTTATCTTGCCAACGTTTCGATCTTTATTGAGGTCATCTTCAGGGCCTGGGATTTACAAACATTGTTTAAATTTAAGAAAAACATGTAGGATGTTGAAAAAGTGAATTTATACAATGCAATATATATTATATATATTTTTTTTTAAATATATTCAATCAAAGTATTTCTACTCACTCAAAGTGTTTGTCTTCTGTGTAGTGAGTAGAAATACATTGATTAAATATATTTAAAAAAATAATAAAAAAATATATGAATATATTTTATTGTATAAATTCACTTTTCCACATCCAAAATGTAATTGTTATATGTAATCAATATTTGTAAATCCCAGGCCCTGAAGATGATCTCAATAAAGATCGAAACGTTGGCACGATAAATAAAATGTTTTTATGAAACCTACATCACACCAGACCGCATCTCATGATTCCTAAATAAATATTTACAAAAAAAAAATTAATATATTTCTCAAAATTTCATAAATTTTAGAAAACTTTAAATCTAATATAAACATGTAGTTAACAAATCGTATTTACAATCAGATTACATAAAAAGCACATTCCTATCTTTTTATTTATTAACGCCGAAAGGGGTGACAAGATAAGATTTAAGGCAAATGTCCCGAGCACGTGCTTCTTCCGAGCCATTAGGGTTGGTGTGGGGGTTGCATTTCAGAAATTAAGCCCCCCCCCTCGCCAAATGATTAATGAAAACGAGATCCAACTCCATGTTCTCCTCGACGCATCAGAGACCCCATTTCGATATAATCCCTTCAAAATTTATATTGATGGCATGAAAACGAGGTTAAACGAGTATAATTCAAAAATTTCAGCGATGATGTTCATGGGTGTTGAAACAATGAATATTATTGTTCTGAGAGCAAATAAATTCAAATACAGGAAAAAAGCTAGAAAAGAGTAGATCCTTTCTTAGATTATTTTTGAAGAAACAGATTGAGATATGAAGATAAATTGTATGGCAGCAACTATCAACAAAGTTCCACTAATTGTGCGGTTGTTTCCAATAATTTTGGTTTGCCAATCCGCGCTGTTTTGGGCATTATTTTGGTACAAATAGAAAATGAAAAATGAACAGAAATACTGACATGCATAACAAATAAAACCTAGATTTAATGTACTAAAAGCACGGACAAACGAAGATGATGACAATCGCACGACACCCCTCACGATCGTATCAAAGGGACTTCGATTCAAATAAATCACACTGACTTAATATTTTTCAATAAATTCACTAATTTCGTAGTCAACTTGACCAATTAATATATATTACAATTAATTAAGGTTTTTAGTTGAGATAAAAAAGTCAATGGCACGAGCGGGATTCGAACCCACGATCTTCGGCTAGATAGGCCGATGCTCTACCACGAATGGGTTCGAATCCCGCTCGTGCCATTGTCTTTTTTTTATCTCAACTAAAAAACCTTAATTAATTGTAATATATTAATTAGTCAAGTGGACCACGAAATTAGTGAATTTGAAAATAAATATGTAAATAAATAAAATAATATATATATATAAAATGATAATGCCTAAAAATGATTGATCTGGGTTTAAAATAGAAATTTAATTACTTATAAAATAATATTATTCATGTTTAAAAAGTAAAATTGAATAAATTTAATCTAGTTTATAAGATATTTTGTATATATATTAGGACCAACTATTGAGGTTAATTAAAAAAGAAATGAATCATATCCTTTAAAAATAATTAAAATTTATTATGAAAACTCTGAGAAAACATTTGCACATAATGTGTGCATAATTACTGTATCAAATTTCCTGGGCTTTTCGCTACAATTCACATTCTCTTACTCACTCACTCATTTTTCTCTCTCCCTCTCTCTCTCCCTCTCTCTCTCTCTCTCTCTCTCTCTCTCTCTCCTCTGTCTGTCTGTCTGTCTGTCTTTCTGTCTCTCTCTCACTCTCTCTCTCTCTCTCTCTCTCTCTCTCTCACTCTCTCTCTCTCTCTCTGACTCACTCACTCACTCACTCACTTCCTCTCTGTCCTATTCAGCAATCAAGATGTTAGAAAAATTGTTGCTGTCTGTACCGTCTTAACTACTATTAAAAAGAGTTGGATCAAACAGAAGCAGAAACAGGTACAGGACTCCGTCAGGAGAAACCGAAGACATCGGCATTTTGTACGAATGTCAAGCATTAATCTGTTTTGATAAAGTATGCATGAAGAGAAATGCTGATGAGGCACCGAGGAAAGTGTTAGTTTCGTTATAAAAAGTGCACTTTTCATGGTATGGCATCATGGGGGGTCGCACGACAGACAGGTGGCGGTGAAGTAAAAGTCGGATTACATTTATGGCCTCATGTTTTGACCTCGTTCTGCATAGTTATTTTTAAGTAACAGACCATCAATTGCATCAGGGTTAAGATGAAGTAATTGCTAGTAAATAACGTTTTAGCTGGAGTTTTAAAATTTCAAAAAGCTCAACAGCATCAAAGCAGAGTTTACTAAAGATTTTTAAAAATGCTTAATGAAGAGTTTTTCTCTAAAAAACAGTTTTGGGTCTATTCAATAATAACAAAAACTTCGTTCATGGCAATAGGAGCTAAAACGACTTGTTTCTATTTTTACTTTTTTTTAACCTGTTCACCCCGTACATTCTGTAATTCAAAGAAAAAAAGGTAAGTTGAAAAAAGTATAGACAAGGTTTATAATTCGAATGACTATTTATTACGAAAATATAATAATATATTACAAAAATTGCTTTTACTATGTTTGGTTAGAATGTGTTGTTTTTTTTTCTTATCTTTTCTTTTCATTTTTTGTCAGTGCCTTTAAAATGCATGTTCAACAATATAGTGCTCTTGTACTTTATTAATTCTACCATCCTGCTAATTATAATTCTCTACCTTCTCTAGATGTTATAAATATCATTTTTCTTTTATACTTCATATATAATTTCTTATATTTTTTCTTTTTATATAGGGAAGAGTATATAGTATACAAAATGGATTCTAACCAATCCTAGGGAGTAGTCTAAAATCTTGAGCAGACGCTAATTAATTGCTCGTTGCTGTTTATTTTTTTTTTCATTTTGTTCTCTTTGAAACCTATGCGCTGGCGACCTAATTGCTTAATTCTTAATAATAATAGTTAATAATAAATAAATAAAACGTTTTACATAATAAATTAATAGCGTTGCTGACTGAGAGACTAGTTAACACATAGAATAATTTAAGTCTTATACATAATTAACATAGAAATGATAAAATACATGGGTTTGTTTAATTTTGACTTTCAACCTGATTCGGTAATTACAATAGAATAAATAATATATATAGCAGAATCAAAAAATATTACAAAAATTAAAATAAATAAGAATAATGTACAATTTTAAATAATTATAGACCACTTCTGTTTTAAGAAAGCATATTTTTTGATAAAGAAAGATTATTAACATATTTAAATACAAAATTTAATATTTTTAAACTATACAGAAAACCAAAAATGTAAAAAGATTATAATAGATACAATGTTAGAAACATAGTTTAGGACAGTAATCTGAATATTTATACTAGCACGTTTTAAAACAGGTCGCAAAATTTTGTAGTTTCAAGTCTCATTTAAGTTTTAAATTGAAAAGGAATAAATAGTTCACTTATATCCTAAGCTTAATACTTTAATGTACTTATGGCTGTTCGGTCACACGGATTCAACCCCTTTGTAGAACCCTGGCCCACTTAACCTAGACTACAATTATTATTGCTTTTGAATACTATAGGCTATATTAGATTTGGGGCATTGCTCCAATGAAATTCAATAAGACACCAAGCTATTGCTTATCGAAATTATTATGATTATCGTTGTCTTTTATATTGCTTATAGATTTTTTTTTCACATAGGGTCTTAACACAAATTGAGAATTTACAACAGACGAATGCCCCAACGCATTATTGCCATGGAACGGTTTTACACAAAGACACGACCTTAAAATTTCAACAAAAAGCTCATTCATCTTTTAAAAAGAGAGTTCAAAATCAATTTTACTAGATTATTGCTTTAGCATAATGACTAGAATATATGTAAAAAAATCTTTAGAGAAAGACACAACCGAAAATTTCAACCGAATACTCATTCATATTTTAAAAAGAAAATTCCAAACCAACTTGATTAAATTAATGCTTTTGCACAATGACTAGAATATAGAAAAAATAGGTTTACGGAAAGACACAATCTTTTAAAAAGAATGGTAAAAAACAACTTGATTAAATTATTGCTTTCGCACAATGACTAGAATATAAAAAAACGTTTTTCAAAAAGACCCGACTTTAAAATTTCAACAGAAAACCCAGTCATCTTTTAAAGAGAAAATTCCAAATCAACTTGATCAGATTAATGCTTTCGCACAAGGACTAGAATATAGAAAAAAAATTACGAAAAGACACAATCTTAAAATTTCAACAGAAAACTCGTTTATCTTTTAAAAAGGATCCTAAAAAACAACTTGATTAGATTATTGTTTTCGCACAATGACTAGAATATAAAAAAACGTTTTTCAAAAAGACCCGACTTTAAAATTTCAACAGAAAACACGGTCTTCTTTTAAAGAGAAAATTCCAAATCAACTTGATTAAATTAATGCTTTCGCACAATGACTAAAATATAGAAAAAAACACGTTTACGAAAAGCCACAATCTTAATCAACAGAAAACTCATTTATCTTTTAAAAAGAATGGTAAAAAACAACTTGATTAGATTATTGCTTTCGCACAATGACTAGGATATAAAAAAACGTTTTTCAGAAAGACGCAACTTTAAAATTTCAACAGAAAACCCATTCATCTTTTAAAGCGAAAATTCCAAACCAACTTGATTAAATTAATGCTTTCGCACAATGACTAGAATATAGAAAAAATAGGCTTACGGAAACTCATTCATTTTTTAAAACGAAAGTGCAAAATCAACCTGACTAGATTATTGCTTTCGCACAATGAATAGAATATAAAGAATAAAATACTCAAAACTGACCATTCATCCCTTCATTTAAAAAGAAAATTAAACATCTTAAACCTATTATATGGTAAGAGATCATTTTGAGAATTAAACTCTATCTATTTACAAATATTGTGGTGCTTAAACTCGAGTGCTTTTCAAGCCGCCCAGTTAAGTACTTTAGCCACAGTAATATTTCGACTAGATATCACTCGTTTTTCGTCCAATCCCTCCGTCTAAAGACAAAAGACTGGAAAAACCCGACAACACTGACTACGAGGACGGGGAGAACAAGGACGCAGACTTAGAACAAAGATAAGACAAAGTGCTATAAACAGCGAAAAAGCAGAAGCTATTTGGTAAGATTAGAGGATGAGAGGGTTTAAGGGGTGAGAGACGCAGTGAAAGAGGGACGAGACCGAAAAGGAAGGGGCGGACGTTAAAATGTTTACCCACATTGTTTACAGAAGCGGAGGAAGCCGAAGAAGTGAGAGGGGGAGCTTTAGAGCTGGAAACCAATATAAGCCTTCTCGGCAGAAGTCTAGACAACACACGGGAACAATAGACGACACTTTAAAAGAGGGTCTGCGGAAAAATATCCAACGGGGCCTAAAAAAGTTAAGGAAAGCGACAGGACACAACATCTCGTAAGACGGAGCTCGGCTCTTGCTGAAATGATAGAGAAGACTAAGGAAGAGCGATTCGCACAGCACAGAAAGCGTTCGACGGAGGGATCTTAACATACAAAAACAAATAAATAATTAAATCATATGACTAGAATTATTTACACCGACTAGATTTAATATTGCACTTTTTCTCTTATCTATACAATTTAAATTATAAGTGCTTATTGCATTTATTGCTTATAAATTCTCTTAGACCACTATTTTTGACTAGATTATCTCATCCTCGGACTAGATCTTAAGACTAGTGGTGTTACAGTTATCCTATACCTAATACTGGAATGTGACGAAGTATGGCAATTATTTCTCTAATGAGATCTCTGAAAAAATATCTTAACTAATTAAAATTAATATGGCTTTTAGAATTGACCTTATAATTAAGTACTGACTGACTAGTGAGTCGGACTAGAATGATCGTTGTGACTTAAATACCTTAATATTACTTACTCTTTGGTTTATGCTAGCTTATTATGGCACGTTAGTGCTTATTTCAAAGAACATTATTAAATAAATTAAAAAAAATTAAGAAAAATAATTATTGTCTATTAATTTAACCCTATTGTCTAGAAAAAAGAATGCTTGTGTTTTTACATATTAAAGGCTAAATGACTAAATTGAAGACTTAAAATAATGACTAGATAAAAAGAAGCTTAAACAGAAAGAAATGACTAGTTTCGTTGATAAATGAAAAAATTGACTAGGATAGTTTTGGTTATAGTTACAAAAATAATGACTAGAAATTAATATTGTTTTGCAACATTTTTTTGTTATTTCTAAAGATTCGTTGATTTGCGAAACTGGAGTTTAGTTAAAACTCAGCCCAATCAATGGGCTTAAATTACTCCTTAACGACATGAGACATAAACTACAAAATTCATTAACCGATTTAAGCCATGCTAGTTACAAATTTTAAGATTTAATAAAGTATAACGATAGTGAGTAGAAGCGTCTAGAGTGACTAGTAGTAGTTAGTAACTTTCTCGTGCGAAGCACAAAAAAGTCCTCGTATTTTTGGACGAACTGTTGTAGATTTGGACGGTGCGAGTTTAGCCCTAACCAGGTATCGAAGGGGAGGGAGATTTTATTATGTGCTCACCGCTTTCCAAGCATGCCGATTCTAGATGTTTGTTCAGGTAAGACTTCAACGCGAAGGTTTTGTGACATCTCGTGCATTGATAGTTCTTGTCGGCCGAATGCGTCTGCATGTGTGCCCGGAGGTTAGACCGGTCGGCGAAGGCTTTGCCGCAATGCGCGCATCCGTAGGGCTTTTCTCCGGTGTGCGATCTGAGATGGCCCTGGAGGAGCCAAGGTCTGGAGAAAAGTTTGCCGCAGACGCCGCATGCGTGGCTCAGTTTGTGTGTGAGGAGGTGCATGGCCAAGGCCGGCATGCTTACGTACGCCTTCCCACATGTCATGCACTTCTTCGCCGACTGCGAGTCTAAGCTCCGATGAGTCTGCTTGTGCCGCGATAGATTACTCGACGTGGCGTACTGCTTCCCGCATTCCGAGCAAGTGTACCTCTGCTTGGAGTCGACTTGTCCGGCCGGGTCGACCGCCTTCTTTTTCGACCGGCCGTCGCTGACAAAAAAGGCCTCGTAGGTGTATGCTACAGTTTTAGAGGTAGGGGGGTTGGGTGACGGTTTCTCTGGAGGTGGTGCTGGGGTGGAGGCACTGAGGTCTAAGATAGCGTGAGCCGCGGATAAGTCCTCTTCCGCCGGCCTCCACCCCAAATTGGTGTATGTGGTGGTCACCGCAGGCCGGTCGTCCAAAGAATAAGGGCGGTAGATGTCCTTCTTCTTAGGCGGTAACGAAAGAGCTGCACCCGTGCTGGTGTAACACATTGACAGTGATTTCGTCCTCGGAAGCGTCGTCAGCTCTGTCGCCGGTTGGAGCGTCGCATAGGACGGCGGTGTTACCGAAGGTTCTCTCGGTAGGTAAGCCGTGAAATGTGATAAATCTTGGACATATCCTAAAAAGAAAAAAAAAACTATGTCAGATCTAAGTTTTTCATTTTCATAAATTTGTGGTTGAAAAGGACTAAAGTGACACTACAACTTTTAGTTATAAAATCACCCTTTAAGCTCATCACCAATCTTAGTTTGACGGTATAATTAGGAAAGTTCTCTGATCCTGCATAGCCTAAACCCAACAAGCAAGTTTCCTTAGAAGTATTGACCCACCAATAAACATTTTCCTGAACATGTGTTAGCAAACTCTCCTTACTATTTTTTTTACAATGACAACTCGCATTTTTAAAAACTGTTTTGATAAACATTCGAGGTTTTAAATTTAAGCGAATTTTGATTTTACATTATTACTTATTATTGTTATTTTTAAAACCATGCCTGATATTTATTATGAATGATATTTCCCAGTTCAAAACTACTGTAATTGATAATTAATGTTAATAGTGTGTAAAGCTTATATGCTAAATCTTTATAATTTTGACAAAAATGGATTTAACAATAATTTACGTATTAGTGTGAAGGTGGTAAAATAAAAAATTGTTGGTTACAAAGGCAGTCAAAAATTAAAAACATGATTTTACCATGTGACGTAACAAATGATAAATAAACCATACAAGATCAAATTCTCTAATCAGAAGATTATTGCCAGCAAAATTGTATAATATGTAATTATTATAAATTTGGTGGAGCCAAAAGATAACATTGTGTGATCTGATCCGTTGTTATTATCAGAAGAAAAAATGATTTTTTGTAAACCATCTAAATTTTTAACGTTAATCGTGTTGTTTTGGTTTGCAAGTTTGGTGCGATTGTTGGTAACAGTTTAGAAATCATCAGTTTTAAACAGGTCTTGCATAATTTACGATTTAATAGATCTAGATTAGTGAGTATAACTATAGAGTTTAATGACTAAATTAAAATCGTATAAAACCAAAACTAAACGTTTACTTACGCAAAAAAAGTGTTCTTAAGGTAAACGTGATTTGTGGTGTCAGCAGACTTAATTTTGAGTTGATGGTGAGGCGGCAGAGGTGGACACCTCGCCGCCCCCAAACGCACTGCTGCTGAAACCAACCCCCTCTATGGCTTTAAACCACCACCCCCACCCCTCTTTTATATCCGACCCTAGTCACTGACGAATATCGCGTTTGTTTTATTTTTAACTTTTATAGTTTTATTTAATGACAGATCTTGTTTTTCAAATTAATAATTAGTGGTTATTTTTTTGACGGATGGCATGAATGAAGTGGCTTACCGTTGTAAATGATAGGCGGTATCCTGTCTGTGTGATGTGGAGGAGGTGGGCTCGGTGCTGTAGCTGCCGCCGTCGGGCTCGAAGGTCCCCAAATTTGGGGCCCAGCAGGTGTGTCACCGACGACATCGATCTCTTCGTCTTCGTCTTCTTCTCTCGGCCTCTCGTCCGGCCACGGGTACCCTTTCCACTTTTTCGCCATCAGGCACCTCGGCATTTCTTCATCGGAGCCCCCACCTTGCGCGGCACAACGAAAGAAGGGAGGGACCGAACGACGAGAAAAGGGATGGGGAGGAGAGAACGAGAATCAAAAAGAGGGAGAGACGGGCGGAGAGTGAGAGAGAGAAAGAGAGAAGGATAAGGCGAAACAAAAATACAAAATAAAAAACAGAACCGAACACAAGTGTACCCTCGGAGGTCTGTCGGATTTGTGCCGAGGCCCTCGTGGTCTCGCCGTTTATATATGGGAGGGGGTTGGCCCGCGCTCAAGGGTGGAGGGGTTGCAACCCTGCGTGCGCTGCCCCCTTCCCCTCATTGATTCACCCCCGGATCGCGAGGGGGGAGAGCTCCATGAAAAATATGATGTTGGGCGCCTGAGCAGGAACAGCCCATTGCACCTCCCCTACCAGTCAAAACATATCAATCATCCCTAATTACCAGCATCAACACTATCCTCTCGGGCGCAAAAATATTTCGCATTTTGATTCCGCCCGCTCACATCTGAATTTAAGATCAGGACAAGGGAGTCGAGGAAATAATAGAGAAATATACAAACGAGGACATTATCCCTTCCAGACACGTCTATGACATTACGTCAAAAAACAATATATTTTCAATACAAAAGGGAAAATCATAGTATGTTTTATTTTACCACTGTTCCGTGAATGACTAAGCAACTTGTAGATTCTCACTTACTCAAGTTTTCCTTTCAGAACGGAAACCACGCGGAAGGAATAGTCACGTTACCTGTTGACATCTTAAATGTATCGATAAAAACCGATAAAGACATTTCAATCATTATAGTTATGCTGTATCCTGTGAGTTCAACTAATACCTACCTAGCTACCTCGCTGAAAGTCCAGATCATAGGTAGCTATCAAACAATAGGTTTGCTACCTCCGCAGACCACAGGAGGAAATGTCATAATTTATAAATGTATTATTTGGGGTGTAATATACTGCGCCCTTTAAGGGCTATTGTTTACCCCGTTCTATGACTATGGAACACCGGTGAGTCCTATTTCATCAGGGAACTTGATTAGAAGGCGGGGTTTATAGGTTGAATTTCTTCTACAGTCACAATGTCCGTCTCAAAATACTTCCTTCTGCGAGCAAGTGGAGCACCACAGTTTGGTAATAGTTGTGTTCATGCCTCCTCTGATGCTTTGCAGCACCTGCATGTGCTGTCTTAGGTTATACCAATCTTTTTTAAATGTCCATTTATTTTGCAGTATCCTGTTAAGAATCCTGTTAGGATTCGCAGTTTTTCCCGCTCTTGACTTCTTTCCTTCCAAAATTTATGAGGTTCTTTGATGGTCTATGTCCAATGAGTGAATTCCATTGTTCCCTCATTTTCTTTTTATCCTTCTGACTGAGGTGATTGATAGTGTGGATTCTTATGCAACAGAAGGATTCGGGTGCGACAAGCGGTACATATAGCAACCCGTTTTCTTGCAAGGTGACCGCGTTCTCGTTGCCTTCTACTTTCATATGTCCTGGGACTCAGCAGAGCCTGACTAATTACAAAATTTTATAATTAACCTTTAAATTGCCAAACTTTTATGAACTTGAACTTATTGAATTGGTTCATAACCCGTAATATTGCGTTCATAAATACAAAACAAAACTTAACCATCCCAATAGTATCGTGTATGGAGTACAAGTATAGATTGGTTTTGGGCCAACCATTATCGGGGCTGTACTGGCAATGGCAACATTGTTCCTTGGAAATGGATACAAGATACACCTGCAGGCGGTCCTTCGAGGTGAGATGGTTGATGTCCATTTTGCAACATTTGATCGCCTGCGTCCGAGCTCTCATTATAATTTTATATAGTGCAGCGATATATAATTTATGACAGATCTATTGCCAAAATCTTTTCTAATATCCTCGAATAAGCGAGATGATGATCAGAGTATAGTCGAGGCGGGATCGTTTCGTATATAATATTAATTTACTATTTTACCATAGACTTGTTAATGATTATAAATTAAGCGAAATTAATACAGTTTAAAATGTATTCGTCTGTTTCCTTCCATTGCTTCCATTGCCTCCACTGCTCAGTTTTCCATCCGATAATCTGTCATAGGCTCAAGCCGAAAATTGGTTGCCACCACACGACCAGATGTAGAAAGAAAGAATGCAAATTAATTCCACTAAATTACCGCATTCCATTACAAAAATTTTTCTACCTTGCACATAGTGTAATAATTATTTGGAGTTCCTGAGATGCCGTCTGGTGTGAGGTAGGTTTTAGAAAAAGATTTTCTTTATCGTACCAACGTTTCGACCTTTATTGAGATCATCTTCAGTGCTCAATGTGTTTCTTTTCTGTGTAGTGTCATTTATGTGTGTCGTGTTGAGATGCCATTGATTGAATATATAAAATATATTTTGCATTGTATAAATTCACTTTTCCACATCCAAAATGTAATTGTAATATGTAAACAATGTCATAATCTTAAAATAAAAATAAAAAATAAATCTGAATAGTTCTATTTGCAATTACTATCTCTAATTTTATTAGACTCTAATTGTTTACACAAATTATACAAACTAAACTCTTACAGCAAACCATAATAAAATATTACAATTTTAAAAATTAAATTTTTTTAAAAACTGAAATTAACTTCAATTTACTTGCTACTCTGAAAAACACCAAATTTAACGCGCACAAAATTGAATGTAATGAACTATATAGAAAACAACAACAGCAAAGTTTACAGCTAAGAATTTTTTTTCTTATTTTCAAAAATTGGATATGTAATGCATATAAAAATAGCATATGTACTAATGTCTTTGTTTATTTTTTGATTTTTAACATTCAAGTGTATTGATAGCTGACCGCCTTATCTTTGCTTCGTGTTGATATATTTATATAGAAAGTGGGTTCTCAACAAACTATTTTCAATTATTTCAGATTTTTGCGAGCTACATATAGTACAGTTCATTAATTTGAAAGAGAGAGAGAGAGAGAGAGGGAGAGGGAGAGAGAGAGAGAGAGAGAGAGCGTGAGAACTAGAGAGAGAAAAACGAGAGAAATAATAAGATAGAGAGTGCAAGTGAGGATTCGTAAAATTCGGCAATAGAAAAGTCAGCTTTCAATTTTTCACTGTTGATCGAACTGATACAACAATATCTTGAACAGAGCTAAGTTAATTTTAATATTGCTTATAGAAATGTGTGATATTTATTGACCGTTAATTAATGATTATTTATCGTGATATGCGTTTTGTGTGATGTAGGATAGAAAGTTCATTATCGTGCCAAAGTTTCGAAAAAAATTTTTTGAGATCATCTTCAGGGACTGGGATTCATAAACATAGATTCATTTTGACGTTGTAGTTATCAACCTGCAGCAATTAATGTTTCGAGTTGGATCTTCGGGAGATCAAATGACGGATGAAATAAAAAGAAAAACAACAGCTTCCGGGTTCAACCGAGCTTCGGCATTTGTTATCCAGAAGATCCAACTCGTAACAATGTTTCATTTATGCAGATACATGTAAAATTTGAACATGAATTGATACAGCCAGAAGAACGAAGAATCATGAACAGATATCAATTACACACGGACAAAAAGAAAAAAGGATTCTGAAGGACATCGCTAACAAAGAAAAGAAACTCGCATCTGCAATCAATCGGAAAACCTTTTTATTGAAATGCAGACAAAACAAGGTATTTTCTACTCGCATCAAAAACTGTAATTTCACAAATGTCACACTAACACAACCAAACAGCAGCTTTAACGACACACATAAGGCCACAATACAATTCAAAAGAAACATTTCATATATCGAAATCAATACCAGCATTAAAAACATTACGAGACTAACAGAAAAATTACTCCGATTAAAACATAGTGCTGTTAACGTAATACCTACATACACCCCAAAGAAATTGTACAAATAACAAAAAATTATATACAATGTTGTGTATATCGTATTGAAAAATGGCAAAAAGGAGGGAAAATTCGGAAGGTGGGTTGAGATGGGAAATTAGTGGCCGAGTGGATCGAGGTGATACAGTGAGTGATCTCAAGTGGTAGAGCAGCGGCGTATTTAGCCGAAGGTCGTGGGTTCGAATCCCGCTCGTGACACGGACTATTTCATTTCAACCAATACCTTACATACAGATTAATAAATAGAAAGAGTTATTTGGTTAATCGGATCACGAAATATAATGGATTGTATGTATCATTGTATAAATTCATTTTTTCACATCTTACATATATTTGTGTAATTTAAACAATGTTTATAAATCCCAGGCTCTGAAGATGATCTCAACAAAGGTCGAAACGTTGACACGATAAAGAAAATGTTTTTCTAAACCTACATCACGCCAGACCGCATCTACGATCATTGAATAATCATTACTTATAGAATTCACTAGTTTTCGTGGTCCGCTTGACAAATTAATATCTTTCAATTAATTGAGGTTTTTAGCTGAGATAAAAAAGTCGGTGTCACGAGCGGGATTTGAACCAACGATCTTGGGCTAGATACACCGCTGCTCTGCCACTGAAAGATGGCAAAAAGGAGGGAAAATTCAAAAAGGTGGGGTTGAGATGAAAAATTTGTGGCCGAGGGGATCGAAGTCACGATAGCTCAAGTGGTAGAGCACCGGCGTATCTAGCCGGAGATCGTGCGTTCGAATCCCGCTCGTGACACTGATTTTTTTATTTAAACTAAAAACAATAATTAAATGAAAATTACATATCGAATTTGTTTTTGATACTTTAATCAACATTGCATATTTTCTTTTCATGCATATTACTTATTCTTTAAAGTTGCAGTTCAATTTTGTAGGTTTCAGAAAAACATTTTCTTTATCGTGCCAACGTTTCGATCTTTATTGAGATCAACGTTGTTTACATATAACAATTACATTTTGTTAACGTAAGGTTACAATGTTTGTGAATCCCAGGCCCTGAAGATGATCTCAATAAAGATCGAAACGTTGGCACAATAAAGAAAATGTTTTTCTGAAACCTACATCACACCAGACTGCATCTCACGATTTTTAAATAAATATCGATTAATCACCACACATTTATTTGTGAATATTGATAATGGTATGGCGCAAATTAAATTTTAAAATTTGATTAGAATACAGATTAGTCGTTATATAACTAAAATGATAAAACGCGTCTGACAGTCTACAAATGGTCAGAAATGACTAAAGATTACTAAATTTAAGATGTGTTAAAACTAGAATGATAAAACG